TGAAGAATATGTTAATAAAATTAGGCCTTTTCGGTAATATTTCTACACATTTTAACTTCCTCTGAAATTTTATGATCATGCGAATCATATTTATCAGAACTGAGAATTATTTTAATCAATAGGGTTTTGATCAAACTACTTAACAAACTTGGCGATTTGATCGAGAAAGCTAAATTAGGATATTGGATATGGTTAATTTGGATACAAAGGAAGTAAAAAGTTTCGACATAATGTGATATTGAACTTATGACTAAGTCAAAAAGGTAATAAGGAAGATTGAAGGGGAGAGCAAAGAGTAAAAATTAGAAAATTGAAATAAAAAGTAACACCAAAGAGAAAGATAAATTAGAAGTTTTGACATGGTTAATCTGTTTGACATAATGTGATATTGAACTTTTGAAAATGTCAAAAAGGAAATAAGGAAGATGAAGGGAAGAGCAAAAGGTAAAATGTAAAAGGTTGAAACAAAAAGCTTACACCCAAAAAATTGGGTAAGATCCATCGAATTGTGACATATGAGTCGAAACATAAGGAAAGAGGGGAGAAAAAAAAGGAAAAGGGAGTAATTAAATCCCTTAGTTGAAGGCACTAATAATTGATTGGGAGCCTTTTAAAGTGGAATGTATATATTTTGTAAACAAAACTTATGTAGGTAGGATAATTTGCTAAACATGAACATTTAGGGTAATAAAGTTTCCAATAGTGTATAGGAATGAAAAAATCCCAAAATAGGAGATTATATTCTGTCCGGCCATCTCTCTCACTCAGTATTTAAAAATATTTCCTTATTTAAATTAAGGGTTAGGACATTTACAATCTTGAACCATAAAATATTGATGGATGAATGATCGTCACACTCTAGAGAGTTGGAACAATGATATAGGAGTACAAGTATTTATTTAGAGACCTCCATTAAAAGGTAAAGAGAACGCATTCTTTCCTAAATTAAAATTAAAAGATTAAGTGGAATTTAACCAATTAGTACACCCCAAAATGCAATGTGGTCCCAAGTTCCAACCACCCTCTTAAGCTACACAAGGGAGAAAGCAACATACATATAGAAAATGAGCAAAGTATATACGAAGAGATGACTAGGCAGTAGGGAAAATCCTAACAAAGACATCTTGGACTTATTAGCGAGAATCATGTAAGAAGTTTAAAATGACTTTGAAATGGTTCAATATATGGATAAGAATCTTATTAAAAACTATTAAAGAATTGCATGATATGTGCCTGTTTCTTGAAAACAGCTGTTCTCAAGGAGAATGGCATGAATAGTACCTAACACCGTGTAACAGTAGTAGATCTATATCATATTATATTCATCTGCAGTGTTATTACTAAAAGATGAAAAATATGTTTTAGTTTTCAAAGCATATCTTAGTATATATACATATATATAGATCTTGAACAATTTCAAATTACAAACACTACTTATTGAAACAATAGTAAAAACAAGTCTTCCGTTGCATGTTGCCAAATGAACAACCACTTAGCTCACACACAAAAATTTGCTGTACCCGATATAATTATACTCCTAGTGTACAAGTTCTTTATAATACCCTTGTACATACAACCCGAGGCGGACCTACATGGTGGGTTGAGGGGTCACGTGATCCCGTTAGTCTCGACAAAAACCCTATATATACATATTATATATATTTGTATATATATATATGAGACCCCTTAAATATTTTAAGTGTGCCCCCTAAAACAAAGAGGTGGATGGGAGAAGAGGTTGCTTTGGGCCCTTAAATTCCCAACTTTGCTCGGGACATAGGTTCGGAACCCCATTCAACTTTTTTCTCCTCCTTTTTATTTTTATTCTTTGAGTACAATGTAATTTATATTTAATAGCAAATTGCTTTATCTTTTACTTTTATCTCTTTTTTTTAAATTCAATTATAATTTAGTACTAATATATAATAGTCAAATTTATTAATATTTTAGTTCTTTGAATACAATATAATTTATATTTAATAACAAATTATTATTTTTTTACTTTTATCTTTTTTTATTTCATTTATAGTTTAGTACTAATACACAATAGTCAACTTAATTAATTTTATTCCTNCGCTGGTGATTATCATACAGTGGTACTCCCGTCGTGCTCAAATCCTGGGTCTACCTCTGCATACAACTTAAGTATTTAATATTATTGCTGCACTTTGGAAACCAAGCGTTTGCGCATCTTTAATTTGTACATCGGAAAACTCTTGTGCAACTAAACCATCATCAACATAATTTGCAAGAATTCTTTGTGGTCTAACAAATAATTTCAAAAAAATGACTCGATGCGATGGTTAATCATTCTTTTTAATGCTACTGCAATAAATATGAAAAGAAGCGTGACAAAAGTCTCCATCGAATTACAGTACATTTACTTGATGCTAAAGTTAATGTCTCTTTTAAAAACGTAATATGATTATGGAAAGAAGTGTGAGAAAGTCTCCATCCAATTGCATAAATTTGGTATGTGATTAATTATTATTTAAATTGAATATGACCGATACAAACCCAGTAAAATCCCACAAGTAGGCTTCTTCAATATATTCTACTAAAAATTGGAGATTCTCTCCTAGTTCTCTTTCTTTATGTTTTAAAATTATTTGGTTGTCTAAATCAGTGAATTGATCATGAAATCGTTTTGGTTTTGAGGAAAAGATTAACCAGGTGACAAGGGGAGAAAAACTAGGGGGAAAAGGCAATACGTGTTTACTTTGTCTAAGTAGGCGTTTTGCCCATAAGTTTTGGAAGCTTTTTTTTCAAAAAATAATTTTAAAATATGTGTTTGTTTATAAAATTAATCTAGGCTTTGGGAGTTTCTAAAAATTAAATTCCAAATATAGTTTAGGACTTCTTTTTGAGACAAATTATGATCATTTGAGACTTTTTAACATGTCAAAACTTGTCCCAAAATTCATGTCCGAACATATTTTTAATTTTAAATTAAACTTCACCCAAACCAACTTTTTCAAAAAATATTTGAGAATTTATGTCTGAACAGATCCTAAGTCTCTTTGTGCAAATCAGCCGTTGGGCAACGACTCCTTAGCAGGTGACCGTTGCCAACGGTTAACATGGGCTGCCCAATCAACAATTTTTTTAAAAAAAGAAGAAACTAGTCGTTAACCGGTCCGGGCGGTCCGGGCCGGTTTAACCAGTTCTATAGTATTTTTGTTGACCGAGTTTGACCGGTCTGGTTAACCGGTTGAAAATAGGTGAACGGACCAAACTCCCTACCCCTTTAACCTAGCCCCACCTGGCCCTCTTGTACCGGTCCGGGGCGGTTCCGGTTTCAACCGGTCTGGGCCAGTCCGGAAATGAGCTGACCCGGCCCGTTAGACACCCATAACATAAATACACATTAACTCGAAAATTATATAGTTTGAACACTAAGGAGTTCGAAACCAAAATGACAACTTTTTGGACTCAAATTACGTTTCTACAGTTTTAAAAAAAAGTTATTTTTCTACCTAAAATGCAGTATTATACTGCGCTTTACTTTAATGAAATTTTAGCTGTTAAAGTAAAGCACAATATAATACTGTGCGTTTTACTAAAGCGCAGTATTATACTGCGTTTTACCTATTAAAATATAAACGGTCCCCTTCTTCCCCACGACAGAAACCAGAAACCCTCCCCCCATTTTTACATTCTGAAGCAGCGGTCCCCTCTCCTGATTATAAAAAAAAATCGAGTGGACCCCACCCGTCACACAAAAAGTGTAGATTGTAGGTCCCGCATACAACCCAAGCCTTCGATTGTTGTGGTTTCCTCGTTTCAGGCTCAAAATTTCAATTTTCCGACTTTTCTAAAAACATAAATCGAGGTATTCCGATTTAGTTTATATCGAAACTCGTATAATAATAATGTTTAGTTGTCTTGAATGTGTTTCCAAGTTGTATTGTATTTTGTTTGCGATTAAATTTGTATGTTTTTTTATCCGGATTAAATTATTAGTGTTTAAAAAAAATAGTTAAAAGTTGAGAAATAATTTTTCTTGTTAATAAAAATGTTCATAAATTTATTTTACTGTTTTATATGTAATTTCGTAAATGTTATGTTGTTAAAATTTGTTTGTTGTTTTTATTTACTTTAGATTATTTATTTGCTTAAAAAATAGTGTCGTAAAATATAGAGTCTTATAGTGTAGTAAAATATAGAGTCTTTTAGCGTAGTAAAATATAGAGTCTTTTAGCATAGAATCTCTGTAGTTTAAGTATCTACTAACTACAAACTCTATCAAATTACACTTTATAAAAATTTATTATTTAATTTATAAAACAAACACATAGAACTAACAAATTAATACATGCTGTCAAATTAAATATCGAGCGAAAAAGTCATAGATATATACTCTGTCCAATTAAAAATTAATTATTTAATTTATAAAAATAACAAAATTGTAAAAATATTGAAATTGACACACATAAGAATTCAGGATAGCTTGATGCTACTGGGCCTTAAATATCGAGCCTGGAACCCATAGATATATACTTTATCCAATTAAAAATTAATTATTTAATTTATAAAACTAACAAAATTATAACAATATTAAAATTGACACACATAAGAATTCAGGATAGCTTGGTGCTACTGGGTCTCAAATATTGTGCCTGAAACTCGTAGATATATATGTTGTCCAATTAAAAATTAATTATTTAATTTATAAAACTAACAAAATTATAAAAATATTGAAATTGACACAAATAAAAATTCAGGATAGCTTGGTGCTACTAGACCTCAAATATCAAGCCTGAAACCCATAGATATATACTCTGTTCAATTAAATAATTAAATATTAATTATTATTTGTGACACAAAATTGTAAAAATTATTGAAATTGGCACACATAAGAATTCAGGATAGCTTGGTACTACTGGGCCTCAAATATCGAGCCTGAAACCCATAGATATATACTCTATCCAATTAAATAATTAACTATTAATTAATAAAACTAACACACAATTAATATTGTTTAATTTATAGTAGACGACATGGACGTGCCGCATGTGCATCTTGGACCTATCTCGGATGAGATATTAGTGTTACAGGGCGATCATAGGTCCGCCTACGTATGGGAGGGAGAGCTAGTAGAGCAGACTCTCGGCACCAGGAGAGTCGACGACGTGTGGGACTTTATCAGGGAGAGAGGTTTACATTCTCGCATAGTCCAGCGCCTGCGTGATACGGGCTTCTATAAGATTTTTGAGATTGGGCGGTTGCAGCTCGACTGGTCTCAGATCACGGCGTTGATAGACCGGTGGCGACCGGAGACACACACTTTACACCTGCCCATTGGCGAGGCTACCTTCACGCTTCAGGATGTTCAGGTTTTATATGGGCTGCCTGCTGATGGACTGGCTGTTGCACTGCCTTAGTATATGAGATCTATGACACGTGCCTAGTATTTGGACTTGCTGTAGCAGTTCACTGGTTTCAGGCCACAGGGTGAGGCTGCGGCTTCAGAGGGCAGTCGCATTTCTATGACAGCTATCAGACAACATTTAGATGTATTGTACCCCGACATCATCGGTGAGACAGAGGATCTACATATTCACCGGTACACGAGGTTGGCGCTGCTCCTTCTTTTTGGGGGTGTCTTGTTCCCGAACACTTCGGGAAATCTAGTGAGTATGCGATTTCTACATCATCTTCAACAGCTAGATGAGTTACCCCAGTACAGCTGGGGTACTGCTTTTCTCGCTTACCTGTATAGGAGTATGTGGCGGGCTAGCATGGACACCCAGAGCGACGTATGTGATTTTTTGCCGCTTCTACAGGTGACAACATATTCGAATACTTTGTTCATTACTTCCAATTCTATATAGTCAAAATGACTCTTAAATTTTTCGTCGACCTTGTATGTTAGGTTTGGGCCTGGGAGCGGTTCCTGCCATTGCAGCCACCTCTACCACCATTACCTCCGGATGTATCACCTCCGTTACTCCCTTTAGCTAGGAGGTGGGTTCTCCGGTGTGGAAACTACCGAGCCATTGATGCTCATCATAATCTCCCCCTTGTCAGGGATGCGTTGGATATGCTGGAGGCCGCACAGGTAAATATGTACCTAAACGTACTTGTTATTCACTTGTGTTGCGCATACTCACTTTTATGTTATTATTTGATAGTTCATCTGGACGCCATACAACGACGAGTTGATAGCTGTCCTGCCCGATTATTGCTCGATCTACTGACTGATTGGGAGCACTTCCATCCTACTGATGTGCCTCGATGTTGTGGAGCATAATGCCACGGAGCGGGTACTTTGCCAGTTTGACCGTCCGCAGACTATACCGAGGGAACCTACATGGGAGGCTACACATTATCAGCAGGATGATCGTTCGAGGGTGGACGACATATTTGTAGCATGGCTAGAGGTGCAGATCCATACGTGGGAGCAGCGAGAGGACCTGATTCCGCCACCACTTTCACAGATCCAGGAGGCGACTATTGAGATTTATACATCATGGTACCGCTGTCACACCCGACTGATGATCGGGAACCCCGTTCATCAAGTTGGAGGTCGGTTCACACCATACGCCGGGAGGCACGAGGCACTGGTATGTTTTTGTTGGACCCCATACTTATAACTGTGATATAGTGTTATGTAATTAATATTTTAAATGTTGTGCATGCTATATGTCATCATTTATTCTACTGGTTAGGACTGCAAGATACAACATCACGCCGACAATCCCGCAGTCACTGAGTATGGCCGGCAGGTGGTAGAGCTGGCTCTCCGGACACTGTAGCGAGCCAGAGAGGACGAGAGGTTAAATCACGCTGCTGAGTATGTGGAGATAAAGTAGCACCATCGGGATAGGCTTGTCACACAATGCAGGGGTCGGGCACGAGCCAGGGCTGCCCTACGAGGCAGGGTTGTCCCACGAGGTAGGGGTGCCCCACGGGGTCATGGGGGACGACGAGGAGGTGGTCCCCAACAAGGGGGCGTTGAGGCACCTGTTGAGCCGCCTGTTGAGGCACCTGATGAGGATCTTGGAGATGATCAGCCGGGTTACATCCCTCAGCTAGACGAGCCTTCCAGCAACATGCCGTCGTACAGCCTTCAGCTGGAGCTGCCAGTATCGCAGGTCACCCCGTCAGGTCCATTGTTGATCATGGGTACATTCGACGGAGATGTAGAGCAGTTCATTTTAGGCCCATCTACCGTAGCTAAGGCTCGACTGACCCAAGACGTAGATGGTGGGCGCATGTTGAGTTTTGGCTCATCCCCGACGGTTGATACGGATCTATCACAGGCGCAGGTATGTTTGTATTACCGTTAAATTTTAATTTGTTTTTTTCCTTAATGATTTGCCATAAATTAATATTTAATTTTCTTATTAAGGCTTCGTCCCAGCCCATCATAGAGCCCACTTTATGCGATGATGAGGACATCATAGATGCTTATATTCAGGAGCCCGACGAGACTATGGTAAGAACATATTTTTGACTTAACATGTACATTACTAATATACATTTTCATATGCTAAGCTTAGTAATTGTTTTGTAGGTTGCTGACGGACCGACGAACCCTTCTACCGATCCTGCCAGCTCTACTGACGATTATGCTGCTGCGCATCCTCACATAAAGAGGCGACGTAATGAGGATGATCCTGATAGTGTACTCGGGCGACAGGGGATGCGCCTCAGGCCAACGGCTGCATTGAAGCACACAGGCCGTGGGACTCATTGATTTTTTTGTTTGTATTTTGTGTAAATAATATATTATGTAAATAATGGCAAGAATTTTATTTTGACACAATTTGAACAATATTTTTATTTTAGTAGTACAACACAAACACAAACATAGCAAACCTAACATAACATAAATTCAGTACAACTAATGAAAATACATGACACAGGAAACATAAAGATACACTACTACGCTCAACACGTACATGTCATTGTTTAGTCGGGACCGCCTAGTATTCTCTGCTCGAACCACTTGAGTTGGTCTTCCAGCTTATTTTTTTCTTCTTCCACCTCCTTGAGTTTCTGCAACTTCTCGTTTGGATTGTCTCTCTCTTTCCCACTGCTTCAAACACAAACTATGAAGAGAATACAACTTGTCTTTGTAGTATTCCTGCTGACAGGGTTCATCAATCCATACCTCAAAATACCAAACAGGTTCGTCGGGAACCCTATAAAACTTGTTCATACATGCTCAGTAGCGGCGTCCAGCTTCTTCCCAACAATCGTACATCATGCATTTTTTGCCGCACTCGCACCTTGGGACATAAAGGGGTTGAGACATTTGTTAAAGCGTAAAGAAAAACCTTGCTTTTATGGAAAGATTTGCTATTGGTTATTGTTAAGCGCAAAAAATAACTACAATGCGCCCGTTATTTATAGGCAAGATTTCACAAAAAAATAGTATTGTACCGCGCTATATATATTTAATTTTTACTAAAACGAAACAGCTTTTGCGCAGTCGGTTCAGCTTTTCAGACCTACATGACAACACACAATACGTAGTATTGTACCATGCTATACATATTCAATTTTTACTGAAACGAAACAGCTTTTGCGCAGTCGGTTCAGCTTCTCAGACCAACAAAACAACACACAAAACATAGTATTGTACCCCACTATACATATTCAATTTTTACTGAAATGAAACAGCTTTTGCGCAGTTGGTTCAGCTTTTCATTTTATTCCGTATATGCGTTCTCTTTTGCACTTGCAGCTTGCGCAAATAGTCCTTGTTATACACCATTTTAAAAGGTTCCGGCGACTAATAATGCTCAGCACCTAATGGCTGCAACTGCCCACTATATGTGTCTACATATGTAATAACACTGTATTGCCTCTCAACATAGTTGGTTGCCCCTAAACCAACTTGTTGAAAGCACTTCAAGACATGTGCGCACGGCATGTGGTAGATGGTACATTTCCCACATGAACACAACCTGCTGGCTTCATTCACCGTCTGTAGATTATTCCCCCCGTGTCCGTGGATAGTGGTGCGAACTTCAAAAATACCCCGGTCATGATCGTACTGTAAAAATAAATACCAATGTGCTCGCCTCCTGTACTTCTCAAATCTTCTCATCGGTATTGGCATAAATTGAACACCCCTGTCCATCAATTCCGATGCAGCTCTATGCCTTTCAACAAACCTCTCCGCAATCTATTTGAATGTCATCCGGACCATGGCAGTGACAGACAATCCATGTGCAGACTTCAATAAGCCGTTGAATGACTCCGACACATTTGTAGTCAGGGCTCCCCATCGTCTGCCACCATCAATATGCAATGTCCACATGTGAAACTCATGTCCTATCAGCCAAGTATAGGCTCGTGGATCTAACTGCTGGATCGCTTCTATGCGCCTCGTGAATTTGCACTGCTGGTGCTCAGTTGTAGCCATCCACATTAAATCATGCAAGGCCTTGTCGTGATATTTCTTCTGGAAATTGGCATTCAGGTGCCTCACACAGTAACAGTGGTATGCATAGGGTTCCTTCCATTCAGGCAAATGCCGTACAAAACTTAAAATACCACCATGTCGTTAAGATATTAGACAAATACCCGAACGCTGTTTGACAATGTGCTACTTCAAGTGGTTCAAAAAAAGCGTCCACGTCTCTTCGCTTTCATTGGCACAAATGGCAAAAGCTAGTGGAAATATTTGTCCATTAGCATCCACTACAACTGCGATCAAAAGCTTAATATCATACTTTCCATAGACATGAGTACCGTCTATGGAAATTATCGGACGGCAATGCACAAAACCATCAATTGTTGGTTTAAATGACCAGAACACATAGTTGAAAATATATTCGGGTCTGTTCGAACTCTGCTCACGCCTCCATTCAACAACAATCCCGGGGTTACTATTGCAGTGCGGCCATGTACTTGGGTAGAGATGAAAATGACTTATCCCAGTCACCATAAATAATTTCAAAAGCACGTTTGCGCCCGAGATATGCCTTTCTTTTGGTTATAGTACACCCATACTCCTGGTGGACGACTGTAATACACTCTTTAATCTTGAACCTAATGGATACTTCCAAGTATGGAATCAAGACAAGAGAAATCAAGTCTACATCCAAGTTGAAGTGATTCTCGTTGAATGTGTCTACTTCACATCTGTGGGTGCTAATATATTTATCTACTTTCCACAACCCTGATTTCTTCTTGCTAGCACGCAACATCTAGTGACAACCCATAAAGTCTCTACGGCATACAGCCTGTTCCGTAGTTGACTTCTTTACTATCATCTTACGACACTTTCTTACACTGTAGATTTTTACAGCCCTGATTAGGCGAGCTTTATTAGGGAAATACATGCCCTTTGCTGACCGAAATTCGTCAGCATCCCTTGTGAGGGCATCCAAGTCTGGCATACTTGGCAAATTATCAAGGTAGGGAATATTCCGCTCATGAAACGACACATGAGACTCGTACACTCTTGGTCTAACGAGAGGTGGAGGAGCATGCTCCCTCGTCAGCTCAAGTTCGACATTCACTTCCCCCTCCTTATCACCCTCGTCAGGGAAGGGTGTGTCATCTTCAGACTCATCGGCATTGTTGTCATAATCACTATCATCTTCCTGACTCTGCGCATCTGCCAAATCACGAGTCAATACATCGTCTATGGGCAACTGTGTGAGGTTAGGAACATCAAGTTTGTCACGATCCGGTCCCCGAACCCGGTCGTGATGGCGCCTCTCGTGAAGACAAGGCCAGCCAGACCAAAACGGAACCTCTTTTAAACAGTTAATCATCATAAACAGTAATAACATATAATATAATGCTCATAAATTGCGGAACTTAACGATAATAACAAAAGGAACCATCCCGACACAGCCCAAACCGGGGTGTCACAAGTCATGAGCTACTATAGAATCTACTATAGGTCTACAAAGTACGGAATCCGATACAACAGTTTGAAGAAAACATAAATGATAGAGGATAAGAGAGTCAAGGTGCTGCGGACGTCAACAACTACCTCGTAACTCCAAATCACTACCTAGCCTAGAAGGAATCAGCGCTCAGGTGTGGACTCTACTATACCTGAATCTGCACACATGGTGCAGGGAGTAATGTGAGTACTCCGACTCAG